AAGCTCCACAAGCAAAGAAGCCACTGCAGTGAGAAGCCTGCACACCACAACTAGAGTAGCCTCTGCTCGCCACAACTAGAGAAAAGTCTGAGCAACAACAAAGACCAAAAAGAAAGAAGGAGAACTACATATCAAGTATTGCATTAGAAAAAAAGTGACTCTCAAGTTAGCCCAGAATGGTTGGGACTGACTGACGGACAATTCTAAGCCATCAACACTTGAAAGGAACAGTGCCTGGGTCTCCTGGGACCACCAGCTGTGACTGAGGCAGCTATCCTCACCCAGAGGAGACTCGGCTCCCAGGAGACACTTGGTGATGTCTGGGGACATTTTGCGGTTGTTGCCACTGGGGGGATGGGATGCTGTTGGCAACAGGCGGCTGGAGGTCAGGGGGGCAGCTCATCACCCTGTGATGCACAGGATGGCCCCCAGCCCGGAGTGGCCAGGCCCCAGATGTCAGCGGTGCTCTAGCCGCACAGCCCAGCTCGAAACTAAAACCACCTCCTCCCTTCCCAAACGGTTGCCTCAGGAAGCACATTTAAGGCCATGACGTGCCTTTGGCTCAAGCCTGTTTTGGAAGCTGGCATGGGCTCCTCCCTCCAGCAGCTCCTGAAACCCCTGGAGAAATTTAACCTCACTGGCTCACACTCTTGAGGCTCGAGGGACGTAGCCGGGTGAGGTCAGAGGCATCTGACTCACCAGGTGCAGACACCCGCCATGGAGGTGACTAACAGCCCTCAAAGAAAGGGCAAGAATCCTCTGGGGCAACAGAGGGGAGGAGCGTGGAGGCCAGCAGAGGAAGGAGGGGTCCCCAGGATGGCCCCTGGGGAAGAAGGCATGAGACACAGTCAGCTGTCCCTTGGCAGGGCGTTGCTGTGGACTGACTTATGTACCCCCACAGAAGGTTTGTATATATCACCCTGACACCAGAACCTGTGAACGTGGCCTTATATGGCAGCGGGTCTCTGCTGACGTCATTAGTCAGGATGAGGTCATCCTGGATTGGGGCCGGTCCTAAACCCAGTGACTGGCGTCTTTAGAGGAAGAGAAGGCGGTGTGATGACAGAGACTGGGATTATAGCGACGTGGCCACGAGCCCAGGAGCGCCTGCCTGGAGCCCTGGAAGCTGCAAGAGGCACGGAAGCGTCCTTTCCTAGAGCCTTTGGAGGGGGTGAGGCTCTGCCCACACCTAGCTTCAGACTCCAGGCCTCCAGAAGTGAGGGAGGGAGGGAGGGAATTCCTCTCTGACGCCAATGAGCCTGTGATGCTTTGTGACGGCGGCGCTAGGAACCTTGTTCTGGTGCCCGAGGTGCTCCCCATCTAGAAGGAGGGCTGAGCCGCAGTGTCCATCCTGCTCCCCAGCTGTGCTGCACTGAAACTTGGGGCTTGGCATCCTCACCACACCTTGGTGTGGCCCACCGCCCGCCCCCGCCTGGTTCTGTGAGGGGTGAATGGTCCACTCGGCAAATCGCCACGCTCAGGAAATGCTGGGTCTGCTCTCTTGTTCCTGTCCCCGGTTCTAAAGTCACTGAGTGTCTGCACCATGTTATCCAGCCACTGCTGGGAGCATGCACAGTGGGGCCTAGTGGTTGGGACTCTGCACCTCCAATGCGGGGGCCTTAGGTTCGATCCCTGGTTGGGGAACCAGGAGCCCACGTCATGAGTGGCACAACAAAGTAAATAAATAATTATTTTTTTAACCTAGGATACCCTCCATAGCTCCCATAGGTCCTGTCCTAACACACAGGACCCACCCTGCAATCCTGCAACGTCTTGAATGACCTGTCACCCACCCTGTCCCCACCACCTTCTGCTCTGCCCCTTCTCACCCCACTCTGGCCCCTTCCCATACCCTCCAGGACCCCTGACTCTGCTTCCACACGCCAGGCACGGTCCACACCTCCCGGACTTTGCTCTGGCTGTGTCCTCTTTCCAGGCCTGGCTCACATCACCTTCTCGCTTCATTTCCCTATTATTCCTTGAGCCCACCACTGTTCTTTTTTTTTAAAAAAACTTGTCAGCTTTTAATTGGAGAATAATTGCTTTACAGTATTGTGCTGGTTTCTGCCACCCATCACCATGAATCAGCCACAGGTATACACACGTCCTCTCCCTCTTGAAACTCCCTCCCACCTCCCCCCATCCCACCCCTGTAGGTGGTCATAGAGCCGTCTGCATCACGCAGCAAATCCCCACTATCTATTGTGCGTGTGGTAATGTGTGCTTCCGTGCTGCTCTCCCAGTTCATCCACTCCATCCCCCGCTGTGTTCACAAGTCTGATCTCTGCATCTCCACGGCTGCCCTGCAAATAGATTCATTAGCTCCATCCTTATAGATTCTACAGACGTGTTAACGCACAATATTTGTTTTTCTTTTTCTGACTCACTTCACTCTGTTTTTTTGTTTGTTTGATTCTGGCTATGCCACGCAGCATGTGGGATCTTAGCTTCCCAATCAAGGATTGAACCCAGGCCCTCTACACTGGAAGCACAGAGTCTTACTCACTGGATTGCCTACTTGTTCTTATTGGCTCAGAGCTCACACTCGAGACCCACTGTTTCTCTCTCTGCCTGCCTCCTTGCCACTAGCCCCCAGCTCCCTGTGGGCAGGCCTTTTTGTCAGTTTTGGCCACTGCACAGCCCAGTGCTGAGAACAGTGCCTGCACGTGAAATATTTGCAGAAGGAATGGATGAGAGGAGGGAATGCAGGGAATACAGTTGAAGAGAAAAGTGTCCATTCTGTGGCCAGATCACTTGGGAGTTTTTAAAACACGCTTGCGCAAAAAAAAAAAAAAAAAAAAAAGCCAAGGAATCTTTACGTTATGTGTTAGGAGACAGAAACAGGCCATGTGTGCTGGCATGGGGCCTGGCTGGACGGCCCCAGCTAGTTTCTGGTTGATGATCTCAGAGATCGTCAGAGAGGAAGAGGAACTGAAACGTACTCAGCAGGCGCAGTCTCGATGGGATTTCACTGAATTCTGGCTATTTAGAAGCCGGAGGTCAACGCTCAGGGTGGGTGGGGCTCTAGGGTTCTGTGAATGGACAGACTGGCACACCCAGGGGTCGTCACTTGGCAACATGGAGACACGAGGTCTCGAACCGAGAAAAGATGCAGAGGGGCCTTCGGACCAGTGTTTAGTACTAGGCCAGAGACGCTGGTTTGAGAAGACGACACATGGTGTGATTCCAGCCATCTAGCATACTGGAAGAGGCTAAACTATGCAGACAGTGGGGGCATCCCAGGAGGGGCAGTGGTAAAGAACCCGAATGCCAATGCAGGAGACACAAAGACGTGGGCTCAGTCCCTGAGTCGGGAAGACCCCCTGGAGGAGGAAGTGGCAACCCAATTCAGTATTCTTGCCTGGAGAATCCCATGGACACAGGAGCCTGTGCGTTACAGTCCCTGGGGTCAGAGAGAATCAGCTATGACGAGGTGTGCGCACACACACACAAGGAGACGCTAACAGGATCAGTGGTTTCCAGGAGCTGAAGGGAGGTAGGGGGACGAACAGGCAGAACATGAGGGACTTCTAGGGTAGTGCAGCTACTCTGTATGATCCTCATGGTGGACACATGACCTTGTGCATCTGTCCAAACTCGAAGCATGTGCAATGCTGAGTGGCTCCTAATGCACACCATGGACTGTAGCTAATAATATTGTGTCAGTATTGGCTCACCAATAGTAAACAAATACACCAGGCCAACACAACACATAAATGACAAGGAGAAGTGTGTGTGTGTGTTGGGCGGTGGTGGGATAATATGGCCACTCTCTGGACCACATGTTCAGTATTTCTATAAACCTAAAACTGCTCAAAGACACAGCACGATTTGTTGCTTTTTCCTGTAATGTCGGAAAAACTGGAACGAACTTTTGGATCAACCCAAAATGTTGCTATATTTAATAAAATTTAACTATTTAAGGTTAAATTTTATACTCAAAATTATTTAATTGTTGTAAAATCTTATTAAAAACAGAAAGAAAGAAAGCAGGGTCTCAGACTCCAAACCCAGAGGTACACACCCCTGGGTGCCCATGTGGCCCTGGCTCTCACCAGGAGACGACAGTTAAGCTACGTTCTGAGATGTGGCAGCATCTTGTCCGAAGACTCCAAGGGGTGAGTGCCACTGGGACCACTTCCACTGCCCCTGTGTCCAGAAGGCTCATCCACAGTGACACAGCCATGACTCCTGTGGTGTCTGGCCGACGGGGACATGGGAAAAGGAGCAGGAGGCCGGGGTGCCAGGTGGCCCCCTCCTCTGGTCCCCAGACACCAGGCCTGCACTCACCTCGCTGGCTTCTTTCTACCCCACAGCCCCACCCCCACCAGAAACACCCTGCCACAAACCATTCAGTTTGGACCCGCCACCCTTTTCCTTCTGGGACCCAGCATGTGGAGTGCCACCTCTCCAGACATCAGGAGTACATTAAGAGGACACTGAGGCATCGATCAGGACTTGTTATTTTCTATATCTGAGGCTTTGACACCTAGGGCCTGGCTGACCCCAGGGGGATTCCTAGAGAGAAGAAAGGACCCTTCTAGGAGCATGCCTTCCAAACACAAACCAACCATTTCAGAGCCCACACTGTTCCCCGCCCCCCCCCCCCCCATACCTCTGTTATTATGTTTTCACCCTCGAGGCTGCTCTCCCCAGGCCCTGAATCACCCCAGGGGAGACCATTCAACTAGGCCAGTCCTTATGCCCCCAAACTCTGAAATTATTCACACCAGCGAATCCCAAGCCTGCTTGCCCTGACTCACTGGAGATTTTCCATGAAAACCATGATACAGACTCCTGCCTAAACCCTCCCCTGGCTTTCCCTGCTTCCGATGGACCCTGGTGCCTCCCCGTGTGGCCCTGCCCAGGGCATGCTGAATCTCCTATTTCTGAGGAAGCGTGACTGTAACTGCCGTCTCCATGGCCGCTGCCGCCCTGTATCTGAATGATCATGGAGTCTGCATGGGAAGGCCCCCTCCCACCGAGCGGCCCCCACTCACCTCCAGCACGGGGCCAGCGCCGAGGATGGTCCTCTCGACACCGCTGGCGTAGCCCTTCTGGCTCAGGGCGGTGAGGCAGTGGATCAGGAAGTTGGTGCTCTGCGTCTTGCCAGAGCCGCTCTCGCCCGAGATGACGATGCACTGGTTGACGTGCTTCCGGAGCATGGCGTAGTAGGCCACGTCGGCCAGCGCGAACACGTGAGGCTCCAGCTTGCCCAGCTGCTGGTTCTCATACATCTTCACGTACTTCGGGTTGTAGATGGGGAGGAACTTGAAGGGGTTGACGGCTACGAGGATGCTGCCGGCGTACGTGTAGATCTTTTGCTGCAGGAAGCGGTGCCTGAGGTTCTTCAGGAGGTTCTCCTCCGTCAGCTCGGGGAGGTTGCACAGGTCGTCAAAGTCTGCCTGTGGCCGAGGCAGGAGGCCGCGCTCCACCAGGCGCCGAGTGGCCGTTGCCTGGGATGCCAGCTGCATATGCAAGTACTTGATGGTCCCGTCGGGGTCGCGCTCCTGCAGCAGGAAGTAGTAGCCGTCCTCCCGAGGGTGCTCGTCGTGGGCCCGCCGCGGCCACAGCAGCACGCGGTGCACAGGCGAGTCGCTGGCATCCAGCACCCACTCCTCCCCACCCGTCTCCTTGACCTCCACCAGCACGTAGCGCTTGCTGCCGTCCAGCTGCAGGCGGGCGACGGCGTCCTGGATGACGTCGGACGTGGTGCTGTCCTTGGTGGCCGGCACGCGGCAGGAGGCCAGCTGCGGGGCCTGGCTCTCGCTGGAGGCCAGCTGCGGGTAGATGTGCAGGTGGTAGGCCGCCTGCCCCCGGCGGCCGGCGCTGCCCGCCTCGTTCACACTCATCCTGCCGGCAGCCTGGCCTCAGCATGCCTCCCGGGCTCGGGGCGCACGTCCTGGAGCTGGAAGGGAGGGGGTGGCACGGTCAGAGGGGGTGGAGGGCGGAGGAGCACTGACATCCACCTCTGGACAGACGGCCTCAGGCCCATGGCCTGGATCCATGGGCTCTCCTGAAAAGCCAGAAAGGCCAAGGAGTCTCGTCTGTCCTTAAACGTGGCCCTGACTTCAGGTTCATGGCTCCCGCCAAGCAACATCACCAGGCCCCGCCCCCCCAAGATCAAACCCTTCCCCTGGAGTCTGTCCAGTTCCCAGGCCGCATCCCTCCCCACCAGCCCCTCAACCCTCAAGTCCAGTGGCCACAGCCATCTCTCAGCTCAGTCCTTCCTGGCCTCTCCTCTCTGACAAAACCTCCCCTGGCAAGTTCCAAAGCAGATGAAGACTCAGCCCCACATGCCTTGGTTATGTCCCCCAAACACAAGAGGGGCAGAGAGAGGAAGGGTGGGATGAGCAAGACTGACCTTGCCTGGAAACTCGGGGACCTCGAAACCCCACTGAGGAGGACGAAGGGAGTGCCCCCCCGCAAAACTTTCTCCAGAAAACTCTCCAGTGGACATTCACTTCTAGAACCCACAACTCAACTCCATTCCCATCAAGACGAGATCATCAGGCAGACCCAGATCGGAGGCCTCCTACAGGAGCTCCGGTCAATTCTCCCCAAGGCTGCGAAAGACTGAGGAGCCGCCCCCGCCAGAGGAAACTGGGGAGCTGTGATGACTGCATGTGCCGGGGTTGTCTGCACAGGGTCATGGCTGGAGAGAAGACAGGAGTGGAAGAACCGGCGACGTCTGGATACCGTCAGATGGTTGGTGGACAGCAGTGTGCTGCTGTTGGTTTCCTTCGTACAAATGTGCCCCGGTGGTGTGAGGTGTTCACATTCAGGCAGCGTGGGTGAGGGGTTCAGGGGACTCCCTGTTTGGTCTCTGCAACTTTTCTGGAAACCTAAAATGACTTCCTCAGTCGTCCAGTGGTTAAGAATCCACCTCGCAAGGAAGGGGATGCGGGTTCGATCCCTGGTCCAGGAATGAAGGTCCTACATGCAGCCAAGCCCACAGGCTTTGGAGCCCATGCGCCACAATGAAAGGTGTGCTCCAACTAACACCTGGCGTGGTCAGATACGTATTTTAAAGAATGACTCCAGCAGAAAAAGCCTGTTTAGAAAAAAACATCTGCTCCTGAAGACATTTTGAGAGAAGAGAAAAGACAATGTTGGCAACGGCTCACTTTTGTATCTTGGAGTGAGAGGCAGAAACGCAGCATGGGTCACGTGGGGCTCACTGTGTGCCATCCGAGTGTGGCTGCAGATACAAAGATGAACCAGACCTTGGCTCAAAGCCCAGTGGGAGATGCTGATATGCAAACAAACGTGAGAGGTTAGCAACCATGAGCGTGAGAAACTACTGTCCCTGAGAGCCAGAGAAGGCTTTAGGGAAGTGGTACCATCTAAGAGGGGCTCTAAAGGATGAAGAGGGATTCGTTCAGCAGAAAGGCAAAGGAGGGAGGAGTGTGGTAGGCCCACTGTCTATTTTTGTAAAAAAGAAAAAAAAAAGTTTCACTGGAATGAAGCTCTGCCCTTTCATGTACATACTGTCTACATCTGCCTTTGTTATAACAACATAACTATGACAGACACTAGTAACCTTAAGGCCTGGAAAGTTGAATATACTTTTTCCCCAGTCCTTTGTAGAAACAGTACGCTGACCTCTGCATGACTCAGCCCTGCGGACATGAGGGGCCACCAGAGGCTGTGATGATCTGGACTCTGGGAAACTGAGTCCCACAGTGTTGCTGGGAGGGCAGGTGACAGGTGAGGCTGAACAAACTAGACATAATGAAGCGGCCACAAATAGGTAGGTAGGTAGTGGCAACAAGCAGGAAGGTTGGAGTAGACAGGAACATTTAATTTCCCAAACTTTCCCCCAAATTATAAAGGAACTTTGGTATATTTCCTTCCAGCTTAATATTCAACAGATGTTACACGTTTTAATAAAGCCTGAATTGCTCTTAATGGAATTTGTTGGTACAAATGAACATGTCTCCATGTCATGAAATATGCTCTGAAACATGATTTCTGAGTTCCTGGACACACAGCATTGTGTAGAACTCTGAGAATGTCCTTGGGGTCAGTTAACTCATGCAGAATTAGCAGATAAATGGATGTGCACACTGCTAAGCATCTTTCCTCAAAATGCCACAGTATCCTGCAGAAAAATGATGAAACGACAGAAACACTTCGGCAGTTTCCTTAAAAGTTAATGTATGCCTAGCAGGTGGCCCACTCCTAGCGATGGAACCACTCCTAGGAGCTACTCCAGAGACACAAAGCAGATGTTCATACACAACTGTGCATAAATGGTCTTACTGACATTGTTTCTAAAAGCCCCAGACTAGAGACAATCCGAATGCAGACAAACCGGTGAATGGATGAATAAACCGGCCACACGATGGGACACAACTCAACTGTGAGAATGGACCAACCTCTGACCAGCACAACAGCACAGAACCATACAGAACAATCTTGGAATCTGACTGCTGAGTGAAAGACCGAAGATGAAAAAGAATATACACAGACCCCAAAATTCCACTCCTAGGTATGAATCCCAAGGACTTAAAGACAGGTATCCAAACAGATACTTGTACACATGTGTTCACAACAACCCTATTAGCCAAAAGGTGGAAAAAAAACAAATTTCCATCAGCTGATAAAAGAGGAATGGTGCTTGCTACAATGTGGATGAACCCTGAAAACATCACGCTGGATGAAAAAAGCCAGACACCAAAGGCTACGTGTTATACGATCCATCTATTAGGAAATATCCAGAATGGGTAAATCCATAGAAATGGGCAAAACCACAGACTAGTGGTTGCCAGGGGCTGGGGAGCAAGGTGGGGGAAAGGGGAGAAACTGCTGATGGATGCACAGTTTCCTTTTGGGGTGATGGAAAAGTTCTGGAGCTACACAGAGGTGACGGCTGCACAACATTATGAACATGCTAAATATCAATGAATCGTTCACTTTGTTATATGAATGTTGTATGTTAATTTAATGTGATGTGAATTTCACCTCAATAAAAATTTCAAAGCAGTGTATATACATGATTGCACACTCCTGACCCTTGAACAACATGGGTTTGAACTCCGTGGGTCCACTTATATGCAGATTTTTTTCACTATATATGTACTTTGCATGTTTAGTCACTCAGTCGTGTCCGACTCTTTGTGAACCCATGGACTGTTGCCCGCCAGGCTCCTCTGTCCATGGGATTTCCCAGGCAAGACCACTGGAGTGGGCTACCATGCCCTCCTCCAGGGGATCTTCCTGACTCAGGGATGGAACCTACGTCTCCTGCATTGGCAGGTAGATTCTTTACCACTGAGCCCCCTGGGAAGCACACGTACATTATGGACTTTAGTACGACACGACCTGTGGTTGGCTGAATCCCAGGGTGGAGTGCTGTGTGTAACTGTAAAGTGATACATGAATTTTGACTGCGTGTGTGTATGGAGGTCTGCATCCTTAAACCCCACATTGTTCAAGGGTCAACTGTACAGAAATTTTAGAAAATGCAAACTAATCTACAGACTGCTGACTGTTGGCTGCTTGAGGGAGGGTGACAGGGTGGGAGGACAAAGGAGCTGGCTAGACCTTTCGGGCAATGGATGTGCTCTTTATCTTGGCGGTAGTTGTGGGCTCCTGGGTGCTTGCGTGTGTCACAACTCATCCAATTACACACTTCAAATTAGTGCCATTTGCAGTGTACAGGGTATAACTGTATAGCCAATAACGCTGTTTAGGGACATCGTGGTGGTCTGGCAGCTAGGACTCCAAGCTCTCTATCCCATGCCAGCCCCCCCCACCCCAATGCAGGGGCCTGGGTTTGATCCCTGGTTGAGGAACTAGATCCCACATGGCGACTAAGACCTGGCCCAGCCAAATAATTAAATACAAAATAAATATTACAAAAGGCTATTTATGTATGGCTGAGCCCCTCCGCTGTTCACGTGAAACTATGGTAACATTGCTTGTTAATCGGCCAAACGCCAGTATAAAATAAAAAGTTAGGGAAAAAAGCACTGTTTTTAAAAAAAGTATGTGAAACTATGAAAGGACTCAGTTCCCTAGGAATGCAACTTTTTGGAACTTCTTGCTTTCTTTCCAAAATGCCCAATTCTTGAGCCCTGTCACCAAGCTCCTCGGATGCCACCGCAAGGAAAATGGCTCAGAATCTATGAGCTTGTCTATGTTCAGAGGTCTCGCCCACTTGACTGTCCCCCAGAAACAATGAGAGCTGATCTCGGGATGTTCCTGGGCAGCACAAGGCTGTGGAAGGTGGGTATCTGTGCACTTCTGAGCCAGATGAGACAGGTAAGAATGCAAATTGTAGATCTGCACCTTAATCACAGTCATGTGAATGCATGTGTGTGGTCGTGAACACCACAACGAGCACGAATGTGAGCCTATCTGTGCAGACGCGGACACATAGGCATCAATACGCACTTTCATACAACCATGCTCACACCTGCGCACACAAAAGCAGAGACACAGGAGTACGAACAGAGTTTCATCTGAACACACCCACACTCACGTGAGTGTAGACTCATGACCCAGGGCTTCAGGCAGAGCCTGCCCCTGTGACGCACACTTGTGGAAATGTGACTCACGTGCATCACACTTCCAGGGGATCGAGGAGGATGGGGCGAGGGCGGGGAGGGCTTTGGATGGTCTCAGGCCCAAGCAGCTTGGCTGCAAGTGACAGAAAGGTCACGTGGGTGCATCTGTTCTCGCCTCCCAGCAGACACCGGGCTGAGCCAGCAGCCACCAGGGCCCAATCATGTCATCTCACTCCTCCCAGAGCTTCTGTCACCTGGGCTGACAAGGGTCTGGATGATGCTGGGATAGTCTGAGGGCTGTGTGGCCCACATCCGCCAGGGCTGCCTGATCATCAGGC